TTGAGAAAGGGGCCATCCTCAGGGACTGCAGCCACCTCCCAACATCCTTTTCTTTTATTGAGTTTAATGATCCAGAAGAGCATATAGCTCTGTGCTGTCAAGAATGAGATCCACCTACCCATCCATCCAAAGAACCACAGACGTCCCATTGGTAGCTCATTTGAAGCTGTTTCCAAACAGACCTCTTCCCATTGCTTCGGGGACTGGGGAGTCCACGTGCCCACATGGTGCCCAAAATACCAACCAACACACATGAGCCATGGGACCTCCAGCTCAGGCTCCTCTTCCAGGTGGGGAGGGAAGCCCAGCAACTCCTGGTGGCTCCGTGGCAGCCACCGTGGTATTCTGTTAATAATGCCGTGATCTGCATTTGAGTTTGAGGCTCTATGAAATAAAATTCTTCATCTGCTGCTACCAGTCCACCTCAGCCTTTGAAGTTTCTTCTGTGAGGCTTCACTTCCCCATAGTGCATAAAGCGAATAATAGGGCCAGAGACATCCAGCAGCGGAATGTACACCCTGTGTAGGTTTTAGTGCTCAAGCAGAAAGCTGGATATATGTGCAATTAAGGATGTGTCTCCAAAAAAAACGAATTCCCCTTATTGGCAGCAGGAGCACAGTAGCAACAACTGAACAAAATGTCAGGATGGTTTGCATTTGCTGTCTCATTCTCAATGTGTGCTTTGCAGTCTCTCATAGCTGTAATTTCAGCCTCTTTGGAGACCACTTTTTTTTTTTTTTTTCTTGTTTTTAACCTTGAACGGGTATGAAATCTATTTCCAGCAAGCAGTACATGGAGGACAGCAGCCTCTTCAGCAGGCAGTTGCTGGGATGAAAGTGTACATTTCAAACCAAATCCAAAAATCAAATAGCATTCTTCAAAGAGGCACTCGAGTCTCAAAGTACCTGAAATTGCTGCTGGCTCAGTAACCTGTATGAAAACAGCTCAAGTTTTCTGAGTCTCACTTGGCCATCTTGTACTTGTGTCCAAAACAGTAGTGAGCTTCACAAATGTTTTGCTCTTACTGGCACGTGTATGTGTGTTCTTGCGATCCTACCGTTCTGGCCAGGCATGGGGAAGGCAGGGGTGCAGTGGTCTCACCTCCCAGAATCCTAAATTGCCTTTTATCAAGGCAAGTCTGTTGCTGCTCCCAGCTGTTTGCATCTTGTTTCTTTTGGAGAATTGCAGTCATGACTACCAGAGCGCTTTACCTGTGTTTAGAAGGCAGAAGACCTGCTGTTTTCGGCAGGTGCTCTCCTCTCTGAAGATGACTCTAGGGCAGGTTGGTGCAGTGGGGGCAATGAGGGACCAGGATCCAGGACTCGCACCCTGTTGACTTTCTTCTTGAGATTATGAGAGGTGTAAGGAATGACTTGGATGGTCAGAAGGGCAGAATCTAGATGAGCCCGTATCCTTTTTCCATGCTTGGGTTTCTTTTGGAGCAGATGTGCTGTTGATCTACCCGATTCTAAAAGAGTCATGCATATGCAAGTGTGCCAAGAGATTTAAGCGTCTAGTAATGCTCGTAACTTGGCACGGCTAAATTTGTGTCAGCAATTAGCTGCTGTAATAGGTTTTCCTGCGTATGTAATCGCTCGTGTGATTTATGTTCCCCTTCTGCGTTCATTTAGTCTGTGCAGAAGCCTGGCCCGGCTTTGCAAGTCTTAGTCTCTGGGTGTGCTGCCTGATTTCAGGCTGCTGCTGGAAAAAGCATCCTGCAGCAGCACAGCTCTGGCTGCAGCTCTGAGGTGCAGCCGGGGCACTGATTGCGGGTTTTCTCTTCTAGTTGATGGTCTTGCTTTTCATGTTGGGTGGCATGTGGCAGGTTCCCTCTGTTAATTAGAACAAATGTGCCAATTATGTTAATGCATCTCCCGATACCAAACAGTGAGTAATTAGAGAAAACACATCTGTCTCTCATTGGGGAGCAGGATGACAGAAGAGATGCTACAAGGTATGTTGCTCTAAATTACAGCCGCCTTGGATTGTGTGCTTCCTCGGCTGGTCACAGGGACGGCTCAGGCTCGTGGCAGGCTTAGCAGCACTGGATGTAGATGAAGGAGCTGTGTGCCTCGCTGCTCTGCAGATTGCATCCAGAGCACTGAGGAGCTCTGACCCAAAAGTAGCTGACTTTGGGTGCGCTCCACCTTCTCAGCATCCGCAGTCACTGCGAGTCAGGATTTCATTCATGACGGGCTTCCTCTTGCTGGTCACTTTGCAAACAGAACAAAAATACCTTCTTGAGTGGAAAACTACAAAAAAAAAAAAAAAAAAAAAGAAATGGGGATTTTGTGCCTGCTTTGTTCCATGGGGCTGGAATGTAAAAAAAACCAGTTGCATGTTGTAGTTTTTCATAGCTGTCATCTTCACAAGGGAACACTTCCCTCATCCTTCGTGGCAGTATTGTTGCCAATTAAATGATTTCTGTTATGGTAAGGAAAGACTGATGCCCAAGTTTTTTCTATGTACATGCACAGCCATCCATACATTTATTAATAACAGTTGGTGGGATGTGCTTGATTTAACTGAATAAATAAAGCTAGGTAGCAGTTCCAGAATTGTTGTGACTATAGCTAGTAACTATACATCCTCAGTATTTAGACAAAACGCAACTGCTGGAGAGGTGGGCTCTTTTTTTGTGTTGCTCCACTGATGACTAAAATGTGTATGAAAGGAGAATCCTGCCTCAAATCGTCCCTCGGTTCCTCCCTTCAGATTTGACGACTAGAGTTTGCAACATAAACAGACTCATGACATCATAAAAACCTGGATGCCAGAAGAAGACTGAATTAAATATGTATTAAAAAGGTATCTTGTGAAAGAGATGGGGTTTAGACATGCACACACAGTACCGACATACTGGCAAAACAGATTTTTTTTTTTTGTTCTGCAAACTTAACGTTTTATTGTTAGCAAATTCTGTGAGCCATTAGGTGAAAAGTACCTTTTTCCTAAGAGATCTGGTGAAGAGCCAGAGGCAGTATACAGAATTACACAGAATATCTTTTTTTTTATGATATTGACAACTCCTGTTTTCATACCTTTGGTGTTTTTGCAGGGATGACAGGGAATTTAATGCTCCTAGCTTTAATTGTGTCTAATCAGCTGAGACCCAGACTGAATGTGTGTGTTTTTGTGGAGAGAGAAAGTGTTGCAGAGAACTGGAAAAAGAGAACCACGAGGCTGAGCATGGAGCCGTGTGTAGTGCTGAGGGGTGCTAGAGTATGTTCTTGGATGGGCATACCAGAAACATTTTGGACTGAGCCTTAGACCACATAGACTGTGGTCCTGTCCTCACTGGTGTCCTGATGTCCTTAACGTGCAGGAAAAGTACAGGTGGTTTGAAGGTGGTGCTTACACAGCCCTGGCAGCATGTCTAGCATCTTTTTAGAGTCCTGGCACAAGTCTGAACTCCATCCCAGAAATAAATAATGGTATCAAAAGCCAAGAAGGACATTTTGTTTGTGTGAGAGGCAGGGGTTAGGTGGCAGCCTACCACTGGTGCAGAGGGAAGCTCCCGGCTTGTTCTTTCAGTCTGGGATGTATGCAAACGTGACCTGCGGGTGAGGAAGGAGCTAAGTATTGCCATGGACTGAACAAGAATCTGCCTGTCTTGATTATACCTGATACCTGTGAGGAGTCAAGAAGGGAGGAAGAACAATCTTAGCAATCCTGGCAAGGAAAAGCGGGTTATTGACTACGAGCTTGTATCTTCCATTGTAAAACACGACTGTTGTGGTGACAGAAACAAAGACTCCAAAGTTCTATGTCTTTTTTCTTCCTTCCCTGTTCCTTGCAGATGCCCATATCCATTTCTGCAGACCTTTTTGCACTGCTGATTTTAAGCTATACAGTATCAGTAGTTGTGAGTTGTGGACCTGATGCACATCCACCCAAACTGGGATAAGGGGAGCTGGAGCTGCTTAAAACAGGGCTAAAGACGGGGAGCGAGTGGTGGGAAGCTTGAATCATGAAGCAGGTTCTCTGTTGGTTTTGGGGTATGTTGATGCTCAGGCAGTTCCTCAAACGTCTTTGGAAAAATGGGGTTTGTGAGAGCAGGTCTTGGCAGTTAGCACCTCGCGGGTCAGGCTGGTTGATTGTGTTTATGTTTTTCTTTCCTTAATTAAATCCTGGACATAAGCTGAAGTGATCCGGTGACATGAAGGCCCAGCTTTGATCCACCCAGGGCCCCAGTCCCATCCTTCAGAGCACGCTCAGTTCAAATGAAAACAAGCTACCAGATTGGCAGCCAAATTATATTAGGGTGGCTCGTAGCAGTCAGTTGGGATATAATAGGGTATTTCTTTAGGAAGGCAATAAAGAGAACATTGTCTAGATTAAAAATCACATATGAAAATATTTTTCTGTGTAACCAAGGAAATTACACTTTATTAAAATAAAATATAGTTTACATAAAGAAAAGGGGAAAATGAGCACTAATGTAGTCTTTGTGAGTCCCTGTTTCCTTGGTAACTGTCTTTATGCTGTTTAATCCAGATTGCAGCAAAACAATAACATGCATGTACATGTGAGCACATGTATACTTAGAAATATTGCCGTGTAATTTGTCCGTGTGACCTACTCTGGTATGGGACCTCTGTGCTAGACCCAGGGTAGGTACATCCAAGGTTACCCAAGGTTACTGCATTATTAACTGCCTAATTAGGCAAAATGTACAAAAGAATGGGCAAGACCTGCTGTTTTAGGGTTTCTGGTGTTATAAGGGAATTTTCTGTTTGTAGGTACGATCCTATGGTATCACCCCTTCCTTATCCTGTGCCTCAGACTCTGAAAACATACATCGGCTATTTGTCTCCGTACAGTAGCTGGCAGCTGTTGAAAATGCATTGGTATTTTCAAGGCAAGACAGCTGTTGTGTGAATGGGTGGGAGGGAACGCGACCTGAAGGAAAGGGTAGGTGTGAAGGTTGTTCTTCGGCGTTTTTGCTGTAGTATTTTATTTTTGTAAAAAATCCTCCTCTGGCCCTTTGAAACCCCAAGGTGGAGTGGCTGAAGAACGAAGAGGTGATTGATCCCGTGGAGGACCGAAATTTTTACATCACCATCGATCACAACCTGATCATCAAGCAAGCCCGGCTTTCTGACACGGCCAATTACACTTGCGTCGCCAAAAACATTGTGGCCAAAAGGAAGAGCACCACGGCGACTGTGATTGTCTATGGTAAGTAATGCCTCGTCCCACTGCACGTGGATGGATGTGCGCTCAAAATGAGAGGTGGGGCAGAAGGGGGAGGCAAAATGCCTGTATGCAACTTGTACCATGATCGGTGACCAGGCTGGACTGCCGCTGCTGCCTCTTGACTTGGAGTCATATGCTGGGACTGCAGTCAGGGCTCATTACCGAAAACACTCGAAGTGCAGGTCTGATGGCTTGCCTTACTGGTGATGGACAATGGCATTAAAGGAGGAACAGGCACCTGCAACAGCCGATTGCCTCACTGAAGAGAAGGCGGTTGTTCCCCTTGCCATAACACGCTTGCTGGATGCAGCAAGGAGCCATTAGGGCATGTCCTCCAGCAGGAGCGTCCAAGACATTGTTTTCTACCAACGCATTTCATGTTCTTAGTGATACTTTTCATAAATAAGAGTAAAACTGAAAGGAGGTTTCTGCTTCCAGATACTGATAAGAGTGTCAGAGCTCAGCAGACTCTTCCATCTTCTTATATCTCTTTAAAAAAAAACTTATTTTTGGTGTCTACTACCAAAACATACTCTGATGTCAGGGACAAAATAACACTTTGAGACTGCAGTTCGTAAGCACACAACCTAGCTTAAAAATAAACGTCAGGGGAATATGAAGCACAGGGTAACATTATTCTGTGTCTGCACCCACAGTCCTGATAAAATATTGAGGCTGGCTGTGCTTTGGCTGGATGGGGTATCCTCCTGAGGTCTCTTCCAGGCTGTGTTTCACTCCAGCTCTGCCCCACCAGTCCGAGCCTTTGCCCCTGAAAAGCTACTGCCCTCATGTGTCCCAGGCATGGGGTATCCTCCAGAACAAAACCTGCTCTGACAATGTGCCAGCTGACTGTCCTGGTGTTCCTTACAATCAGCTTAATTGTAGGATAGATAAGTAGAATAAAATCCCTATGATTATCCCTAATATTCATTTCATATTCAGGGTGGCAGTTAGATTTAATTGTAAGCAGTTGCTTCCCTGAAGTTACAATGAGGGCCTTTTAGTTCAGTTCTTATAGAAAAGCAACTGAATTGAGTTGATTAGCAGTGTTTGTGATACTGAGGGATGGACCTTGCAAGAGCACTGTGTTTTGTAACTGTGATGAATGCAGAAACATAAGGGTGTCAGCATACTGCATATATACATATGTAGGGGAGCAGCCGTTTTTATGGGTTTTGCTACCAAAGCTCCTTAAGGGTTGTGTGATATCACAAACATGTGGATTTAGGGAATCTGAGCAGTCAGTATGTTATCCATCCCCTGACAACGACATTACTACATAGAGCAGCACAGCTCCTTCTTCGTCCATCTATTACAGAAACGGAGGTGGGTGAAAAAGAGAGTCGGCATAAATATCTTCCTGAAGATAAATATCTTCCCTAAGCCCACAAATAAAATTGTTGCTTCTCATGCTCTTCCCAGCCCCCACTGATGACTGCTGTTGGAGGCAGCGTGACACAGAGCCGGAGGCACCTCTGGGCTGGCCAGGATGCCTTGCTTACACCATCATACTGTTTCTCTCTTGCTTTTTCAGTGAACGGAGGCTGGTCTACCTGGACGGAGTGGTCAGTGTGTAACAGCCGGTGCGGGAGAGGCTTTCAGAAGCGGACGAGGACCTGCACCAATCCTGCCCCACTCAACGGTGGTGCCTTCTGCGAGGGCCAGAACGTGCAGAAAATAGCTTGCACCACTCTGTGTCCAGGTGCAGTATGGACAGTACATAGCCCTAGATAAATAGTTTGTCTGTCACCAGTCATTTCAGAAGACTGTTACAAAAGCCTCCTTCTCTTTATTAGTAAATCCAACATTTCAGTGAATGGATATGAAATTGTATTACATAAGTAGATAAAATACTGAGCACATTATATCAAGCAGCAAGGGATTCATCCCTACTTTTGAACACAGCTTGCACTGATGTCTCAGTCCTGGTAATTCAGGGAATTTGGGGAACATTCAGAGCTTCAAATTGTAGGAGAGAAAGGTTGAAAGCTCTGGAAAAAGACTGCAGTTTGAATACAGAAAGCGACTGTGATGTAAATATATCTGCAATGTCTGTTCAGTCCAGCTGTCACAGCAAGTGGAGCATCTGGGATGTGGATGTTAAATTTGAGGCACGTGTTTACCTGACATCAAATACAAAGATGTTTATACTGGAAAGAGCTATGTATGCATACTTTTAAAAGGTATTTAAACTTCTGAGAAATACAAAATGGATTCAGGACACACAAGGTAGTTGATGGCTTTTGGGTGACAAAGTTCTGCCAACTGTCCTATTGTCCAGTGCTATCATAGAATCATAGAATAGTTTGGGTTGGAAGGGACCATGGAAGTCATCTAGTCCGACCCCCTGCAGGGAGCAGGGACACCTTCCACTAGATCAGGTTGCCCACAGCCCCGTCCAACCTGACCTTGAATGTTTCCAGTGACGGGGCATCTACCATCTCCCTGGGCAACCTCTTCCCTGAGAGCATTCACCACTCTCATTGTAAAAAATATCCTCCTTATATCTAGTCTGAATCTCCCCCCATTACCCCTTGTCCTATTGCAACAGGCCCTGCTGAAAAAAAAACTGCAGTCCCACTCAAATCGATGGCAATAAGGTCGCCTTCAGCTTGTGAAGCTTGGGCATCCAAATCTGGTCATAGTGGTGGGTGAAATTTAAAAGCTGAAATTTCATCTCAGACTCCTGGCTCAGGCTGCATCACTGCAACAATTTCATAATTTGTTCCTCGGTTTTTTAATTTAGTGGTTTTGAAAATAATTTGCGGGATTTCGAAAAGCACTAAACACATTCTTGATTCTGCTCATGTGAAATAGATCAGTGCCTCTAGATATTTATTTGAATGGAAAATATTAAATATTATGTATCTCCCCACTAAGGAAGAATTTCTGGCCATGTTTAACTTTAACCTCTGTGTCAAAAAAATGGAAAAAAAATTCACAGATTCTCAATTTGCTTTCATGTACACTTTGAGCACAGATAAGCTACTGACAAGTTTACAGAAAGGGGAGAAAACAGCAGAAATGGGGCTGGGGCAGAGAGAAAGGAGAGGGAGAGTGAATGTGCATTTAGAGCCCAGGAACAGAACTTCAAGTAGAGCAGAATGACTCTTCTTAAGAAGAGCAGACTGATGATCCTTGTGCCTTGCTGCGAATGGCTAGTAGTTGCCAGCTGGCTTGTGCCAAGCCATGCATCGCCCTCGCTCAGTCTCATTTTCATGTACCCCCTGACAAGTCCTGTCCTTTCCTTGTCTCAGTGGATGGCAAGTGGACGTCCTGGAGCAAGTGGTCCACCTGCGGCACGGAGTGCACCCACTGGCGCCGGAGGGAGTGCACAGCCCCGGCGCCGAAGAACGGGGGGAAGGACTGCGAGGGCCTGGTGCTGCAGTCCAAGAACTGCACTGATGGGCTCTGCATGCAGGGTAAGTGCCGCTGTGATGCCTCCGGGGTCTGAGGTATATGTGGCCACAGAAAAACCTGTGATAGCTGCAGATGAGCATCAACAACCTCAAGTCACAGAATAATTTGTAGGATGGAGAAATGAGTTAATCAAGTTCTCACCAGGCTGGACACCCCACTCTTCTTCCTTGATGATGTCTGAGGTTTGTGAAGTTGAGCAGTGAAGAATTAGAAAGTCTCATAACAGAGCCCTGTTCTCCCTGCTCTCCCCACCAAGCAGCCCTTCTCGCTAATACTGCAGAATCATAGAATCATAGAATAGTTTGAGTTGCAAGGGACTGTAGAGAGGTCATCTAGTCCAAACCCTCTGCAGGGAGCAGGGACACCTTCCACTAGATCAGGTTGCCCAGAGCCCTGTCCAACCTGACCTTGAGTGTTTCCAGGGACGGGGCATCTCCCACCTCCCTGGGCAACCTGTGCCAGTGTCTCACCACCCTCAGCGTAAAATAGTTCTTCCTTGTATCTAGTCTAAACTTCTGTCTGGGGAAGCTTGTCAGTGACTCTTACAGCAATGCAAATGAGAAGTAGAGGGTTTAGAGCAAAGCCAGCATTTTCAAGAGTAAACTCGGCAAAGCAGGTCAGTTTGTGGCTTCTTACTGTCAGGAATGGTGGATGCATCTACATATAATAGTTATACCCCTTTTTGAATTTGGAGTGCCCTGAAGTAGGAAGAGGTAGCCTGTATCTATGCAGTGCCTATGCAAACTTCATATATAGTTATCAGCATGCTGCAGTCTCGTGAAAATCACCTCTCACACTGAAGTCTGTTCTGCCTGCACCTATTCACACCATGGTCTTGCCTTTGTGGCAAGTAAAGTAGGCTTTTAAGTGTGATTCTGACATGTGCTGATGAACAGTTAGTCTTCTCTGCACCCCATCCCTTCTCAGAAATGAGGCCTTCTCTGTTTGCTGGTGCATTGAAACTTCCTTTCACATTTCATTAGCACAATCACCTGAGCCGAATCTTCACATATACCTCTCTCCTGTTCCTGCATCCTGTCTCTCTGCAGGGCACTCCGTTGCCCAAAAATGTTGTGGCTGTAACTATCCAGTATCTATGTGTCCAGATTACAAAATGCTTTGAGGTCTCTCATGAAAAAGGAGTCAGGCATTTTTATTCTCTGAGGCAGGTTACTTTTGACAGAAATAGTCACAATGACAGAAGAGTGACACTACTTGCTGATAAATAGGTCTGCTTCTTGAATAAGTGCCATATAGGTGGCTACTGTGCTGGCAGCAATCTCTATGGCACAGCATGGCCATTTGCTCGGAGGTTTCCCAGATTTACAAAAAAGGCATCTTCAGTGGGGCTTGTGCGAACACTTTCACCACGTTTAAAACTATTCGTCAATGTCAGCAGCCCATAAAGCTGTAATTCCTCAAAACATTTGTTTTTATGGGTAAGACAGAAAGACAAGATTCAAAGCTCCTCTTTCTTTTCTAAAGAAATTAAAAAAAATCAAAATCAAGCCACATCTTACTGTGTAACACCTTGGTGACTTTTATAGTGGGGAAGCTAACGTACCCCTAGCTCCAGCAGTGTGAATAAGTCATTATGGTAAATTAGGAAGAAAAGATACATTTCCCCATACAGAAGAACTCTTTGCTATCAGATTATATTTAGACAGGTGTATGTCATCTTTGTGTGTATGCATAAAGAGAGCCATTTAAGCAGAAATCTCGTGGAAAAATAGATGTAATGGTACGGCAGAATAAAAGCCCTGTAGGGATCTCATTTATCTGTTGATGGTATATTGCATTTTATTTGTGAAAGTGGATGCTGAGTATAAAGCAGAGGTCTTCAGTGGGAAAGAGGGTGAGGCTGTTGTGAATCCTATTCTGCTTCATATATATGTATATAAAAAATGGTAATGAAAAATATACAGTCACATATTGACCTGCTTGGCTCTAGGGGCCGCGATAATCATTCAGTGTTGGAATTTAATGACAGTGTTTTAATGGTGTCTTTATACTCATGGGGTTTCATATACCTGTAAAACTTCCAGTCCTGCTCCCCACTCCATCTCTGCTGAGAAGATGGATTTGCCATACTTGGTGGCAGCGTGCCTGCCGTTCTCTCTCTCCTTCTCCCTCTGTTTCTTTATTTCTCCTTCTCAGTTTATGCAAACTCAATCTGAACGCTTAACGTTTTTGCCAGTGTGGATCTAGATTCATAGCAAACCTACCTGCTGAACTAGGAAGAAACACAGGACTCCCCTCATTCCTGAAACACCGTGACTCTTTCCATGGTTTTTTTGAGACTGGTGGGGACTGGCTGGGAACCGACATTTCTCCTGGCTTGGGGACCTGTGGGTCCACAGCAGACTTTTCCAACGCCTTCATGCCAGTGGGTCTGGCATGGCACAGATGGCATGGAGGGAGCCCCAGCCACCTTCCCTCTGTGGCTGTAGTCCTCTGGGAGATGTGTTGGCCAACTGCTTAACCTGTACCGTAGCCAAATCCTGCTCCTAGGTGCCCTGGTGCTTCCTCCTTAGTGTCAGTCTTTAGTGAGAGCTTGAAGGTTGACTTTAGAATCATGGGTGTAGTTGAGGTCAAAGAATTAGGAGACAGACCCTCTTTCCAGGAGTCACTAGGCTGTTGCTTTGACAACAACTCATTTGTAAATATATATGTCTATATAGCTGTACATGAAAGACATCCTGGAAAATGTTGGATTGAATGAGTCTAATTTACAAGCCCTTTCTCCTCCAGTCTATTATTCACTACAGTAGCATCAGCTGGATAAATCAATAAGCTTCTTTCATCAGACTGCCCCTGCTCCAGCAAAGAGCAGCAGTCTGCACTGCCATCGATTTCTGTGGGGATAAAAACTGTGGAGCTTTCTCCATCCCTTATAATTACAGTATTTTACACCCAAAGCTGTAGTTTCTGCTTACCGCTAACTGTGACATTTCTCGTGCAACTCTGCTGTCACATTTATTCAGACTAATGATCTTGCTAGTACACACACACACTCCCTCATCCAGTAGTTAGTATTTTTCTGTTAACATGAAAGGATCAACAGTCATTAAACTGGAGAGCCTGCAGAGAGTCAGCAGGCTGACCTGAAGGAGAAAAGCAACTGTAGTGAAAATTTAGGATGGTCATTGCTATTTTAAGTTTCCGAATACACATTATTGCCTAGCGGGTCTCATTATAACAATTTTGTAATTCCGGTAATAGCGTTAATATGATCTTCTGGAACAAACTATGCTGTAGGTGTAAAAAGAATTGCCTTGTTCCCACCCACGCCAGTTGCATTATTGCCTCCACAGTTGCGTTATTTCCCATTTGAAGTATGAGTAGCATGGTAAATACTACAGTGCAAGGAACACTTTTAAAGGCAGGCACTGCATCTCACAGGGGATCGCTGCCAACTGAAATACTGCAATTAGCCCTCCACTCATCCTGCCTAGTGATTTTGGTGGGCGTTCTGTGTGGGGACTAAGAAAGCAAAGCGCTCCACTGCTGGCTCAAACTTCAGCACAAGCAGTTCCCTTCACTAGATCCCAAATATGTTTAAAGCAGTGTATAAGCTGAAAGAGGGTAGATTTAGAGTAGATATTAGGAGGAAGTTTTTTCCTGTGAGGGTGGTGAGGCACTGGAACAGGTTGCCCAGAGAAGCTGTGGATGCCCCATCCTTGGAGGGGTTCAAGGCCAGGCTGGATGAGGCTTTGGGCAACCTGGGCTAGTGGGAGGTGTCCCTGCCTGTGGCAGGGGGTTGGAACTCGATGATCTCTAAGGTCCCTTCCAACCCAAACCATTCTGTGATTCTATGATAAGGGGAAGTGTTTTGCTGGGCCCAGTCTGGAATGACAACAAGATGATGTGTGTGGTACCAAACAGCTGCCAGAAGTCCTTGTCAAGCCAAATTCTGCTTTGCATGATGTGTAAAATGCTGCTGGTGTTCAGGAAGAGGTGGGCAACTTACAAAGAGCGTTAGCTGTGTTTCGTGGGTATGTTGAAGGCTTATTACATGAGTTGTGACGTGCAGCTGTCATGCTCAGTTACATATATAGGTAACGTATATAGTAATATAGCTAGTACTGTTGCTCCATGTAGTAAAAACTGTTTACTTTATGCAGTCTCACAATATGGAATACAAATCCGTCATTGAATAGAGCCAAAAGGAAGTTTCCACTTGTGAATCATGGCCAAGTGTCATCAGATCCAGTGTGGACTTTTCCTTTGTTGCTTTGGATTTAAATAAATGAGCATGAAAAAACTGGGACATGCTACTATCACTTAAAGAATGGAAGAAAAGATTCAAAATGCCTTCACCCATCATTACAGACAATGCTCTGGACCAACTCTCAGGTCACTTCAGTTCTCTGCCTGCATGTAGCTTAACTACTTGGAAATTCAGATAGTGGGATACACCACTTGATAAAAAGGCACCTATACTGTGGTGAAGATGTTATCATCAGACTAGTAATTCCATTCCTTGTTAAGAAAAGGCTGCCTTCTAGTTGAGACTGAATTGATGTGAAACAATGACGGCAAATCTATATTTGCCAAGTGCTTTGAAATCCTCGTCTGAAAGGCGGTAGGAAGGTTTCCTCTTACAGTGCTAGTGCCTAAGCGAATGAAAAAGATGCAGTTTGCCATGCTCGTGCACAAAATGGTTAATTGCTGCCCTTTTCCAGTCTCGTGCCTGTTTATACACAGATCTCGAGTAGAAAGCAAGGTTAACCTGATGTTAACATCTCTTTCTTCCCAAAACATATATATTCTGCGCATGCCCTGCTTGTTTAACGTAACATGCCAGAACCTCTGATGGAATAAGCATTCATTTCCCTTTATGGCTCGTTTTGAAAGCAGGCATTCAGGGAAGAGTGACAGGGCAGAGCAGTTTGCTGAGGACCTCTGGTCCTCCTGAGCAAATTAGTGTATAAAGAGCAGGGGAATGTTTTCCAGCCTCCAGGAGGTAAGCAAAGCTCTCTCAAGGGAGACTGCAACAGAA